CAATATTAACACTCATATTGTTATTTGCAAATATTATGATGTTTTTAATTTGTTTTTAATCTCTTAAAATACATTATGCATGTTTTTTTTCATTTGTTGTGAATTCGCAGTTGCTGAGCAACATTTTATTTTTTTATTATTGTATAATAACGCCTTTCACTTTGCTGCTAATTTCCCCACTTTAGGATAATTAAGGTATTTATATTCTACTTCATTTTATTGTTCATATAAAATTGCTTTTTGTTGACATTTTCCTTATATTTTCATATGACTAAATAAAAAAATATATATTATATTCTGAGGTAAAGCATCGAAAATAGATTTGGCCATTCATCAACTTATTTCGTCAGCTCCAGTCTTCTCACAAGGACCGTTTCTTTAGGGCGGGCCAAAAGCGCTACCTCGTAATCCAATTGGCTGAGCGTTGGTGTCACTTTGCAGGATCTGCGTCCTGATTGGCTGTTTGCCTTAAAGTCTCGGAAGTGTCACTTTTAGCTAAAGTTTGGCATATGCGGCTCAGCGGCAGCGGCTCCGAACGGACCTGTGACATTTAAGATTAAATGGCGGCCATTAAGCACTGAGACAGGTTTGTTTTAGACATTTTTCTTTGTTTTAAACCAAAGCGTATCATTGTAGTTGTTGTTTTTTTTTTTCTCTCCGTGGTTGATGGAGCTGTTGTTCTTGTTCTTTCAGCCATGAGTCGATTTTCATTGTCTTTTTGCCCTAAACAAGCTAACCAAGGCTCTACATCTGACCTAGAAACTTACGAAAAACTTTATGTGATAGATATTTAAAGTGTGGGGTACCACTTATCTAGAATAAATGTTTTCCTGTAATCTTATTTTGAACTGAAACATCTCAACTTTTTATCGAGCACGGCGCTGAAGTTGGTATGTGATTGGATGCTTCCGATAGTGCTGCTGAATAAAGGGCAATTTCACCATTTTTAAAGAAATCAGAATCTGCTTTAGATCACAGGTCAAATCTGGAATAGATGTTTAAAACTGCACACATGTTCTTTAATAATATATTTATAACCGGTTATATGCATTTTAGTGCCTTTGATCACATTGAACAAGCTGATGCTTTGGAGCTTCAATTCTATTCAGTTTATTTCTATAGCGCCAATTCACATCATGTCAT